TTTACAATAATCAAGTTGTTACAAAACTCGTAAAGCATGAAATTATTTCCTGTCAGGAAAATTCATTATGTGCATGTCGATGCCTTCATATTTTGAAGCCGATTTATTACATTATTTTTATGCCTTACAGAATGCTTAATTTTAAAAATTAGTTGTTTTTATATAACCTTATTAACATCCACGCCAAATTGCTACTTAAATATACTCTGCAGAAATGGTTTTTCCTTCGTAACAGCCTTACAGCAGGGAAAGTGCTTTACGACGAACAGTGGTGCAAGATGAGGGGAAAAAACGAGTTTAGTAAAATTGGTCTAGTTTTTTTTTGTAATCGATTAAAATATTCTATTAAAATGCCAAAAGATTACAATTCCACTTCATATTTAAAATTTAGCTTGTTCGCTGATTTGATATATTTTGATGCAATTAACTTTTTTTTTTTTTAAATTTTAACCCTGTAACGCAGGATTTTCATTAAACATATTTTTCATACTTCTTTTAACTACTCTGTATAAATTTAGTTAAAAATAAGTGAAAAATAATATATTTAACCTTTCAATAATTTATAATAATGAAATACAGCATTTCACACGAGTGTCGTTCTCTGCGTCTCTCAAACACAATTCACTTTCGAAAAAAAAAAATTCTCCAATTTGCATTTATTTGCAATTATTTAGATCTAAAATAAGTAGTAATTCCCTATAGAAACTTCCCTAGCTTATAAAATCAATTATTGATTTTATAAATAATTGATTTTATACATTGAATATGAATGAAAAAAAATCAAACTAATTTTTTTTTATTTTAGTTCAAATACTATTCCGATAATGTAACAGATTTTTTTCAATAACTATTAGACCATTTTTTATAATTAAAAATTACTAAAATATATTTTTGCTTGTAAATAAGGGTGTCGGAAAAAAAATATGTGAAAGGGACGCCGTTTTCCTATCTACTCCAATAGCAATGTAGATCTGCATCGTATGTTTAAGCCTCATATCTATTTATCTATTAACTTTTGCGTAGTGTTTTTTTATTATTTTAATTTTACCAAAACTATTTTATAACTTCAGAACAAAACTAGAATCTTTGGAAGTTTAATTTTTTGAGCAAAACAATTTTCCTTGCTTGCATGATATCTGAGTAAAGTTTCACTTCGGTGGGTAATACGATTATTTCTATATGAAAAATATTTATTTTAAAGCAATTATTTATAATTGTTTTCAAATAATAATTAATAAAATACTGTACTACAATAAAAAAATTTTGTTTGAAATGTTATATTATTGCACGCAGTAGATTTGTAAAACTAAACGAGTAATTGTTCATGATCATGTAGAAATACATCAATATGATCTTTTTCTTTTTTTGACAAGTAAATGAAAATCCTTCGGTTTTTTTTTTTTTTTTGCATGTTTCCATTAACAACACAAGTCTCCCAATTGATTTCATACATTATTGATTTAAAAAAAAACTAGTGCATTGAATGGTTAATCACTTTAAGTGATAAAAATTTTCCAACATTATAGTGTTTATAATTCAAACACTAAAAATATTATAAAATTTAAATTAGCAATAAGTATCAAGGTATATATAAAACTAATTCGTTGGAATTTGTTTCTTCTAATTTTAGACATCATAAAGTGACTTCTATGAATAAGAAAAAACAGCTGCTAATCTTTACATGGTAAAACTAAATTGTTAAAGAGCTCCTTCTCATTGCGAGTTATGTAAATCTGCTGATCACTGTAAAAAATTCCGGATCAAATTACGGTATAAAGTTCCGACATTTTGGGTTCTTCATTCGTGAAAATTATTTTACCGTAAATTATACCGTAATTTTTACATTAATATTTATTTAAATAGAGTGATTCAGAGATATTTCGGTAATTAATACTATAAAAATTACGATGTCAGATTTTTGATACGTGGCATATTCCGATGAAAATGAGTTTTACTGTAAAAAGTACCAGCCAGCGGTACTTTTCAGTGAAATTTTACTCAAAGTTTTTTTACAATGTTGAATTTTATTATTCGGTAGAAAATGAAAGAACGTTAATCCAGATTGTGTTTGCTTCATGCATTGAATGAAAAATATAATAAAACAGCAGAAATATCTCGGCTAATAACAAATGATATTATTTTTCATGATATAATGATATCTTCACACCCCGATATGAGATACTCAGTATCAAAACTAAAAGTTAAAAATCACTACTTAGTAAAATGACAAAAACTTTGTTGAAAAAAATCAGTAAGCAGTTATTTGCTTTTAATCAGATTTTTACTGTTATGTATTTTATTGTTTATCCATCATAAATAAAATAGCTATTTTTTTTGTCTTAACTGTGATACTGGTAACTTCAATTTTCAATTCAATAGTAGGAAATGTTTTGCGAGTTCAGTTATTAGAACCTCTATTACTGCAAAAAATTCCAGTTCAAATTACGATAAAAAAAAAACAGCACTCAGGACGACGGTATTTTTTATAGTATAATCCATTTTTACCAAAACATGTAACGGAACAAAAAATCTAATAAACCGTAATTTTTACTGTCATAATTGCCGTAAAAATCACTGAATTACTCTAATTAAATAAATATCACTGTAAAAATTACGGTACAATATTTTTAAGTAAAAATGGATTTTATAGATGATACACCCAACGCGCCGGTACTTTAGACCCTAATTTGATCCGGAATTTTTTACAGTGTACTTAAATATTTATTGCATTATTAAAATAGATCAGAACTCTTAAGTGACACTAAAACGAGTTAAACGTTTAACAGTTTATTAAAAATGCATAAATAAAATTTCAAATTATACAGTGCGAAAAAAAATAACAAAAATTGTTTATTTGTTCATTAAATAAAAATTCCCCGTCCATCTTTCAAAAATACTTTCACTACCACCCAACTGATACACAACAAGATGTTATTGAAAAAGAAGTAAAACTTTTCAAATATGCGAAATAGTTTAAATAGCATTTTTAATTAAGATGTCTCCAACGAGCTTCACTCTGTATCCATTCCAAACTTGACTTACATTTCAAAAAAATTTCTGCCTCCCCCCCTTTTCAACATCACTCGTCTTCCTCCACCCCATAAAGGAATATTTTTAATTTATCCGATTTTTTTTTTATTTTAAAAGAAGCCCTGACATTTATCCCCCCAACCCCTCCTAATACCTCCTTCATCACTCTTCTTGCAGAGCAAAGCAATCATGAAAACCTCAGTCTATAATTTAAAGGGGATAACTATGCAGTATCTTTTAGTAGCGGAGCTCTGATTCATTAAGATAATGAAATTCCGCGAATTCCTTCCACTTCTTCGATTCTTCTTTCCACGAGGGTAGGGGGGAGATGGTAGAGGTTTTTCGGAGAAGAATAGAATAATTTCAAAATTAATTTTGAAATCTTTGAATCAGGTAGAAAGGAATGATATCGTTTTTTTTCCTTCCTACTTTAATATCAACGGTAACAGTTTCTTTGTTCTTTTAAATTCGATACATTCCTCAGGGAAGGATTAAACGATGTATAAAAGAAGGGAAATTACAATTTTTACTACCTAATTAAAATTTTTCTAATTAGAAGTGTAATTGTGCGTTCACACGCGTGGAATGAAACGTAATAATGGAGAATCTTAATAAGCTGAGGTATTTTTAGATTTAGATTGGTTTTTAGGAATTTTTCAATATGTTTTATAAAAGTTTTGTGTAAACATATAAAAAGGATACCAACCACTTTTTAAAATTTAATATTCTTCCTTTATACTTAAAGTAGTATTTCTCAATAGTTTTTTTTTGCAGTTGGTAAGAGTAAAGCTTATATTAAATTTTTTCTTAATGTAACCACACTGTTCGAATATTCCCTATAAAATTATGGTAAAATAACCGGCAGATGTCTCCCATCTGCTTTACCGTAAAGTTTACGGTAAAGAACACTATTAATCTTAGTTGTAAATGGTTAATATTAACGGTTATAATAACGGTTAATAATGGTAATAACGGTTAATATTAAGCGTAATGCTAGTTAAAAACGGTTTTGAAGCCGTTTACAACTAGCATGTTTTCAAAACAGTGAAAAAGAGTAACTGGACATAGGAGCTAGGCTTAAAAAGCATACCTTAAAAAGTTTCTGAGAATCAAAGTTAAAATAACGAAACTAAAGCATGCAGTTACACAAATTGAGAATAACTATCAAATCTTATTTTTAAAATCTTTTACGCAAATATCTTTTACACATAAGTCTTTTTATAATAGAGTCAGGTTTACCATTCATGAAAATATTTTAGAAACCTGTGGTATAACTGTTTTGAAATGTGTTTATTTAGATGTCATTAACCTCCTTATTCCATTGGTCCACATGTGAACTTTAGCTTCTTAAGTTATACAAGAAAATTTATAATTTTACCCTCGCTGAAACATTCCTAGACATTTAAGCTTTCTGGGGACTCCAATAGATGCAGAACATTTAACATTGGGATAGACTTACATAGAACACAAACAGAAGTGGTTTTCTAAAAGTGACAAAATCCACGTGCTCGAAAACGATAGTAATTTTAGACGTTATATAATTCGGCTATACTGAAAATATATTTTTTCTTATGACTTATTAGTTGTGGGATTTTTATGTAGCTTTTAAAGGTATATTTACTTAATATTTTAAAATAACACAGTCAGGAACATACAGGTCCATGTACGTACCTTGGCATCGTATGTCAAAATCTATGACAACGTAGTAGCCTAGAAAAATCTCATAGTACTATGAAATTAGAGATTATATCGATTTAGTAATATTTTATGTGCCTTTTTAGTAAATTGCTTTATGTTAAGGTACATTCATACATTTAGCAGCTTTAACTTTGTGTATTTTCCATAATTTCGAAAATTTCCCCCCAAGAATTAAATATTTTTTTTATAATTAATATTAGAATTTTTTTAAAGTTATTATTTATTTCATGTGATATGCATAATTAATGTAATTTTGAAGCTGATATTAAATGCAGTATTGCAATGTGCTTAGAAAAAACTTTAATTTTTAAAATTTTTTTTCCAAATTACTAAATCTATTTATCGTTGTTTAAATAGACCATAATATAAAAATATGCATGTTTGTTCCTACTACTTCAGGTGTAATTTAACATTCGAAATATTTGTATCCCTTTATTTAGTTAAAATCTGATGTCCACGTATGGGTACTTTAAATTATTAGCCCTCTAGCAATATAATTTGGCACTATTATTTATGGCAGTAAAATTAAAATTCGGAACTGTAAAATATTTTTTTTGCTATAGTCATTTATACTGCTGTAGTGAAAAGATTAAATATAGTTAAAGTCACTCACCCCTGGTAGGGTCTTCTGCTCGTGGAGGGCGGACTGGGCCTTTAGGGCGCTGTCTCTGGCACAGTAGGTGAGAAAGGCACACCCTGAAATAAAATTATTTTTTAGAAAGGCGTGAATGAAGATGCTCATAACTATTTGTAATCTGATCCTGTTTTAAAATTATTGAATTCTAATTAATCATTCTTTCAAAAAATTTGTGCATGTGTTTCAAAGAGGTTAAAAAGATAAAACTATTTAGATTCAAGAAAAACTGTTTCAAAGGTTTTTGAAAATAATAGTGTTCTGACTCGACATCATTAAAATTGCTTCAAGATTGCTTCAAGAATAAAGGTTTAATACATAGAATGTTAGCAGAAACTGGGATAAGATAAAAATTTTTTATTATATTTAAAGTAAAAATAATACGTATTTACATTGTAAAGACAACTTTTTTTTCATATGCAATTTCGTTATTCAATTTTCATTGTCGCAATGTCACTACAGCCACATCCCTTCCATGCTCTGAAAAGTATTGTTATGGATGATTCATAACACACCTTAGCCTTTGAAGCCTATATCTCTACTTCAGTCTTAAAAAAATTAATTCCTATGGCTACAAAACTAAAAAAAAATACCCGTGTGAAAGATAAAAAGCTATCCTAAAAGCTAGAATAGATTAACAGTTTAGTTTTTAAATCAAGAACAATACAAAAGAATTTAAACTTTAGAAGCTGGAAAACACTCTATGACTTAAACTAGTTTTTACGAACCTAATAAAAGGCAATTATTGGACAATTATAAAGAATATGGAGCTTAATAGAAATTAAACATTTGAAAAGATGTCATAGCGAAACATTTTAAGCGACTCCAACTAATTAAATTCTCGATCTAATTATAACGAAGAAATAAAAATTATGAATTTCCTTTTATTTGCTTAGGACTCTGGAAACTGTTTAAATATTTACATCTTCCATTTACGATTTGGCACGAAATATAACTTTTAAAAGCAATAACAGGAAATATCGTATAGAATTTTTTGTTTTATTTTATATCTTTTCAGTGGAAATAAATATATCTATTTGAACTTATTCCTAATTCAATAAGAATTTAATACCAAACTTTTGGAGCAGAAAAATACTTGGATGTCGTTAATTTGACATAAAAGAACGGAATGAATGCCTTTCCCATTCAAGTCCTTTCAAGGAATTCAAGCACAAATAAATAAAATTCTTTATGAAAATTTCGCCAAATGCACCCATTTTGATTAATGAGCCGGCATGTTTGAGCTTACTAGATGGTTGAAGAAAGCGCGACCGTACACAGCTGATTAAGACGTCGCCTGGCCAAGGGCCAATCACTTCCCAGCTCATGCATGCAGTGGCCAATCAATTAGGAGAGTAAAAGCGTTCTCTAAATGCCCTCATTGCAACGGTTCGTGCCAACCAATGACCACTAATTCATCCTCTTCATTCAAGTAAAAGCCAAGAAAAAGTTGTATGCTTAAATAATTAAGTCCCAAGTTACAAGCCAAGGATTTAGCCAATGTTTCTCGTCCCTTCAGTTCCTGAGTATAATATTCGGTTATCTGAACTTTTATTTAAAGGGAACTAATATAATGTAGAATAATTGTCTTAGTCGTGCATGAAATTTGATCCAATTTTCTAATCCATAGAATCAAATTTTCTCTAATACGTTTTTTATAATAAAAAAAAAACATAGAATTTGAGAAATATATAGTCATTGCATAAAAGGTGTTTATTAAATTCAATGTTACGCAAAAAATTGCATTCAGTGAAAATGTTTTTAAAATGTCTGAGCTCATGAATTTTCAATAGCAATAACGCCAAAAAATTCAGACTGCAAATAAAAGTTATCCAAAGAAAGTGGAGAAACAATAAACATGAAACAATTTTGGCAATTTGTTCATTATTATTTTTTTTAATATTTAACTCTCTTAAACATTATCTTTGCAATGTTTTATAATTTGAAATCTGCATTTAATGCAGGAGATATATTCAAATAATACATTCAATAAATTGTGAAGTGAAAGCAAATTATTTGTAACTTCATAAGTACAATACATGCTTGTTATATAGAATGACTTTTACTTGATAAGTTGTTCATAAAATTACAAATTCATCATTTTGAGATTTACTTGATGAGGTGGTTCTGAAAGTAATTTCTAGATACAAAACTATACCGATTTGAGCGGTATTATTAGTTTAACTTACTTATTATTAGTTTGACTTAATTAGTTTTATGGAAATAATATGTTATAGAGAAAATGGTATTATGAGTATCTTTTTTAAATAAAATAAAAATAATATAACACTTATTCTATGTACTCCAAAGTAATTTTAATAAAAGTAACACTTTTTCTACAGTTGTTTCTTTTGGGTTATTTATGTTCAATAGCATAAATATTTAATAATAATATTAAACTATAACATTAGCATTGCAACTTAAAGTTGCTTATATTTGTACTAATAAACAAGTGCATTGCATACTAATGAATATATTTTAAAGTTGATAATACTCCTATCATGTGATGTTGCATCGTTGTATCATTGGAAAAAAATAAGTTACAGTAATTACTAATAAGAAAATATGTTATGTACTAATTAATTAGCTTTAAAAGTGAAAATATTCACGTTATGACTAAGACAACTAGCATTACATAATTTTATTTCAAATAAATTTTATTCTTTATTTTATTTCAAAGCTTAAGAGTAGCGACATTTTATGCACGTACTTAGAATGTGAGTCTAAAAATTGCAACATTGACACAAAATACGTATGTTAACAACAGGATAGGATAGTTACATAGTGCTGTGTTGTATTGGTTTAGTTTCGGCAAATGTATTTCTATTTTTTTTTTGTAGAGTTAATAAGTGAGCTTTATCTTTAAAACAATTCTTAAAGTACCATAAGTAACAAAATATATTTTTAACAGAAAGACAATCTACGCACGCACACTAAAAAAATAGCGAAAACTTTGTTGAGGAAGTGGTTTTAAAATAGAGATAAACTATCAGTTTTTACATCCTCTAACGCACTCAAATACAAGTTTCGATTAGTTTATCATGAATACAGGTGTTGGACAAAATTACGGAAACACTACACTACTATACTATTTTTTTCATATTTCCTAATAAATACTTAGAGAATTATTTTATTACTTCAGAAGCGTATAGATCATGCGATTTATTATATCACTGAAGTTTATAGCGTTTAGAGATTTGAAGGCAGGCAATAAATTACGAATAAAAAAGTGTTTTTGGAGAAACATGTTAAAAATTTTGCCACAAGCTTGTAACTCGAATCAATCACCTTAGTTATAACATGAAAAGACTGTACAAAATTTTAGACTCGTTTAACCTTTTCATTACCTCCGTCCACATATGTGGACAATCGCTTTTTAGCTTGTAAAAACCAGCTTTAAGAAAATTTTTAGTTTTACCCTCACTGAAACATTTGCAAATATTTAAGCTTTCTGGAGATTCCGCGATAGACGCAGAACATGTAAGGTATTTGGGTAACATTCCACGTAAACAGAAGTGATTTCAGAAAAAATGACGCTAACCCTTAGTGCTCGAAAACGTAAGTAATTTTAAATATGATATAATTTAGTTATTTTGAAAATATTTTTTTTCCCTTTGACTAAGTAGTTCTGTGATGTGTATGAAAGAAATTGTGTTTTTGGCTCAATTTAACTACGTAGTTGTTTTGTAGAAATATTCTCCGAATTGCCCCAATTCATTCATCCGTTTACTTGTTAAATGCATTCAAAATCTTTAGTTTGATATTAAACTATAATATCGGTAATTTGAACCATAATATTGTAAAAATTCACTTAAACCGCAACAAGGTGAAAAATAGTAACGAAACACAGCTCATTTTAACTTTGTAATTTTTAAGTAAAAACTTTCGCCAAAATACTCCATTTATAGCAATCTTAAGAACACTCTCAAAAAACGAGTTTAATGGAAAACCATAATACCGGTAATCTGTACCATTGCTTAGAGACAATTTTCTGAATTCTTAATAAGGTGGTTAATAGAAACTATGTTGCCGACTCATTGTTATTGTCCAGTTTATTGTAAAATCTTTCATCACATTATTCTTATTTTTTCAGCCGTTGCACTAAAAGTTTCAAAGTAAGAAGTTAAAGGCGACACTAAAAAGGTTCCCCTTATTGCACTCTCAAAACTTAGTTCCACTTTAAACTATAATGAAGTTAACGCTGTAATTTAACCTTTAATTATGACGCAACTTGGAAAAAATTAATTTGAAACCTAATTTCTGTTCAAATTTAACCATAGTATTGAGTGGTCAAGTTTAAAATAGAGGAACTTGCATAATAAGGTTAACCTTTTTCAGTAAGTGAATTTTTTAAAAAATAGAAGGTAAACGAAAAAGAGGAAGTCCCCCACCGGGTTAGTAGATTCTGTTAAGATCTAAGTGATTTGGGAATCGACCAATGGTAATTTACAGCTCCAGATATAGCCTGATGGAGGAGGCTCGCAGAGACAGCCTTTGCCAACAACAGGCTGTAGTGCTGAAGAAGCAAGGTTCAACATGGCATCATATTATGGCTGCAGGAAATTTGACTAATATAGCGATTCAGGATGCTTCAAAATTTCTAACATAGTACAAAAGAGCTGTGGTGGTGCAAGGGATACAGCGCTCGCCTCCCAATGAGGTGACCCAGGTTCGAATCCCAGAATTGGCGGTCGATACGAATTCCTCATCCGGCTCTTACGGCCACATGGTCAACGTAAGATATCCCGTGTGTTATACGGATCATGGGCTAGAGTTCCCTTGCCATCAGGCTAACCTCAAGAGGTTTTCCCATCAAAAAGTCGTCCACGAAGGCAAATTTCTCCCCATTTCTGAAACGGAGTTTCCCTGTTTTCTGAATTGAATTAAAATTTACAAAGCTACGGAGATGAGCAATGGTAGTCATAAACTCAAAATTAGTTACTGTTTAATGACGGCTATAGAATAAAATGAGTACAAAGAAACTATACACATTTATTCAGTATATTTATCGATTAATCGTTTTAAAAATCAAACTGCAAATGCATAAATATATTTTGAAGGA